AATATCGCCTTCATCAGAGGAAACGAAACAGATTTATCGGTATTCAATAAACAGTGGTCAACATGACTGTAATAATTGGTAATTGGTCCTTAGTAAAGAGGTGTAAAGCAAAAGAACGTGCTCGACAATACCGCAGCCACACATACATATTTTAATTCATATATATATATATATATATATATATATATATATATATATATATATATATATATATATATATATATAGTCAGGTAAAAAAATGTGATGGTTTCTAATCCAAGTGGATCCTAGTAATATGAAAAAGTTAGAACTGATTCACAAAAAAGAGCTTGATGTATTTTATTTAATCTATACAGACCAATATAATTAATAATCAAACAAATCCTTTACCTCATATGGAGAATAAACTATTATTTCGGCTGAAGTAAAAAGGATTTGTTTGATTAATAATATATATATATATATATATATATATATATATATATATATAGAGAGAGAGAGAGAGAGAGAGAGAGAGAGAGAGAGAGAGGATTCAAAAAGCTGTTTAATGATTTTTGAGGAATAAAGCACCAACAAAATAAAACCAATATTGACAATAAGATTGAAGCACGAAGAGAAAATTTAAAGTCGGAATTTATATATATATATATATATATATATATATATATAGAGAGAGAGAGAGAGAGAGAGAGAGTTCCATGAAGATAAGTGGATACAACGTATAAAAACACAGGCAGGCTAAACCATAAATTTAACAATATAGATAGTATTAATACAAAACCTACACACATTTTTCACCCACACAAGACATACACATACAACGACGTCATTGGCCACTTATACACATATCCACAAGAACATACACGCTTACACATATCATACTTACTCACTCCCTAAGAACCAAATAACACACACACACACACACACACACACACACACACACACACACACACACACACACACACTTAACAGAGACACATCCCCTCTCCAGGAACCAATAAAACTGTCAAAATGAACAGGGGAATTCAGAGCATAGATCCATCCAGCACTTATCTCAAATAACAACTTAAAAGAGACTGTTTGACCAACACAAGGAATGTTAAAAGATTCAAGTTAAAAAGATAAAAACATAAAAAACAAATGAAAACTACAGGCAAAAGTTCATTTTCTCCATCAAGACATTCATTTCTGTAGTTTCCTATTATCAGAAAGCAGAAATATTTCTTCTCCTGATGATGGCCATTTTGGCCGAAACTAGTCGAGGAATCTAAATGAAATAATAATGATAAAAACGAAAGAATATTAATCTACAACCCAGTGTGTCTGAAGATTTTAATTTTTTATATTTTTTATTGTTCATATATATATATATATATATATATATATATATATATATATATATATAAGTGTAGGTGTGTATTCAGCTTTTAAGGTGTAAAGAATTATCCGTAAAGGTCTTGACGTAGAACTTCCATACTATATAGGGGACACGCTTGGTCTCCCTTGTCATGTTGGTGGCCAGATTTGTTTGAGTAAAGAAGGTAAAGGGAAGTTTTCCGCTTAGTCATCGTGCCTGAGAACCAACCAACTACAAAACAACATTCAGTACTCTGAATTTACGGAAATGGTTGCAAGTCATTTAGTGGAATGAAAAGACATGGAAACAAAAACAGAGCTATTGTCAACATTCCTCATATCTGCCAGTTTTGTGCTATATTCATCCATGCTTGGAATACTGTTACCACATATGGTCTGGTGCTCCCGCTGTTCATCTGGAGGTTCTCGAAAAATCCAAAGTTGGATATGCAGTGTGATCGGGTCTGACTTGGTGCCTCGACTCCAGTCACTTTCTCAGCGACGTAATGTGGCTTCTCTCTGTCTTTTCTATAAATGTTTTCATGGCATCTGCTCTGACGAGATTTTTTTTTCACTGGTGTCCCTACTGTATGAGTTTAAGCGTGCTGCTAGGGTGGCATTTCAGTCCCACCCTTTTACTGTCGAAACAGTTAAAGTTTAAACCGCCCCTAATACTCCAACAGCTTATTCTCTCGAACTTCCCGACAGTGGAACACCCTTCCTCTTACTTCGTTCCGTCATGACTATAAACTTCAAATATTCAAATGCAATGCCAATCGACATTTTTTGTTGCCTGTTCTGATCCCCGTTCTTCGTTTTATCCTTTCGTCAACCCCACTATACCCAGTCTTTTCCCTTAATTAAACTCTACGTAGCCCCTTGTAGCACTCCCGCCTTGCTTGGTGGGGGGGATGCTGATATATATATATATATATATATATATATATATATATATATATATATATAAAGTTTAAAATGTCACATAAGCTCAAAATCGGTGCGACAATAATATTTTCTGATGTTCATACTCGACAACGGATTGACAGCTTTTATGTATGCATGTAAAAATACAGATATAAATATATCTGTAAAGGCAATATAAGAAAAAAATAATATTATAATAAATAAAAGAAAAGAGCATAGAGAAACCATTTATACCAATACATTTCATTCTGTGAGGGACTTTATCACGTCAAGTCTACAAATGTTAGTATTTGTCGGTTAATGGAATGTTTTCTAAGACTGACTTGTATTTGCTTGAATCCACCCCCCCACACACACAATAAAAAAAGTAAAAAGAGAAACAGATTCATGAAGATAATTTACTGGAGATGACATTTTTTTTTTATCTACAGATATTTTCATTACTTCGAATCAAAACTACCGTGTCTGTCTGCAGAAATCAATACATATGTTACATTTATGAAATGGACAAAGTCCGACAATTATTTTAAGACATTTATAAAAATATATTTATACATTCTTTTTATAGATACAAATATTTAAGTAAATGCTCTGTTTATAATAAACAGTATTAACAACATTTACCGATCTGAATGTCCGAGAAATTGTCAAAATATGCGTCCTCCGGCAGAAATCGAACCTGTATCTTATACGGAACCGTCATATAGCCTGACGGGCTTTTACCGATTTCGCCAACCGAAACGCTCCTCTGTGAAAAAGCACATTGCCGCCAATATGCTGAAAAAGCAAGGGTTATGGTTAATGTATAATGATAGCTATGAAATACGAGAACGAAACAAAGAACAAACCAGATCATAAATATAAAGCAACTTTGGCAAATTAATATGCAACTGTTAAGTAAAGAGCATCCATATAAGATGTTAATAATACTGAGCATCAATTCAGAGCTATATTAAATCAAAATGAATCTTACAAATAGAATAGTACGTCATATAAGGTGCACTGTAGTTCATCTACTGATTATTACTATAAGAAAATGTATTACCAAATTCAAAGCTTAAACATATTGTAGGGTAAAAGTTAGACTATGCCTACAATTTACAGTCAATTCATTTCTTTAGTTTAATAAGGAGTTTTTATCAGAATTTCTGATTAATTCTAATTTTTCATATAATTTAAATATCTGCAGGTTCTATCTCTTTTTTTCCATTTTAACTTAGGATTTTATTAGTTTCTTTTAAATTCAAAAGCTATTTAGAAAGAGATGTACTTTTTTTCTAAGTACTATTGGTGACGGTTAAGCTATGTTGGTAAGACCTAGTTTTAAAAGAATTCTTAGTACTACCAATATAAAATTTTTCAACTATCGGATTCTCTATTGTAGAAAGAGTACTTAGATAAATAAAAGAGTTGGTTAAACATTTGTTTCGTAATGGGCATTTGTTAGAATTCTTGCAAATACGTTGGTTAATATTTTCAATAGTATTTATCTTGGAATGTGCATTAATATCCAAATTTTTAAATTCGTTTAAAATTTTATTATTGTGTTTCTTTATAATCTTATCAAGATTATCCGTGCAGCTATAACTTAGTTTTAAAGTGTTTCTTTAAATATTTTACTAAGAGGGTTAGTTTTAGGGTAATGTTTAACAATGAAATGGAGGAACTTCAGTATTGACTAATTGGTTAAATGGGGTTTGTACCAAATGATCATTCTGTTCTTATTTCTTTTCCTTAGATCAGTATTATCATATTTTCTGTACTTGATTTCAGCGTATCTATATATATATATATATAAGTATAATGTTTGTCACTTACCTGATTCAGCATACTGACTTCGGAGTTTTGTCGGCAGACCCGTCTGTCCACTCGTCAGGAGGTATCAGCAATTGACTGTGGTTAGTTACGTTACGGTGAACAATCAATTTATTTTGTATGTTGTTTTTTAAGATGTCTCTTTTGTGTTCATATAATCATTTGTTTAAACTTGAAGTTTCTCCAATATATTCTTTCTAGCAATCATTGCATTTGATAGAGTAAATTCATCCTTCAAGTTTTGTCTCGTTGTTTTGTTTTATATTGTTTAATTCTTCCTGGGCGTGTCTTTCTGTACAGGAACCTCACCAGTAAAACAAAAGGCGGTGTCAACAAAGCAATAAGTGCTTTAATGTTGTCTTGATTCAAGATTGTGGCTTCGAATCCGAGGACCTATATGGTCGTCAGTCATGAACTGTTGAAAAATTGCAGGTGCCCTGCCTACAAAGAATCATTAGAACATAATGGTGGGGGTGTCTTGTATCTTGTATATGTCATTTCTACAGGGATGTAGGTGAGCCTCGGTCCCCATCACAATATCGTCCATTACCCTCCTCATCTTTTCCTTCACAAATTCGTCTAAAGAGTAAGTTTCACGAAGGCACTGTGGAATCATGAATTGCAATTCAGACTGAGGAATCGGAGAGCCGAGTTCGAATTCCAGCCGAGTTCATTGCGATCACTTGGAAAAGTATAAATCCATCTCTTCTCCCCCCCCTAGCTATGGGTAAAAGGCAGGACAGACTGGGTTGTATAGCCTTGGATGGTAACCAGTCTAGAAGTAAAATACTCTGAATTCAATCCAGTCTGTTCTGCGGCAGCGCTGCATGAGGTGACCCTTAGATCTTAATTGGTTACGGAACCCGTGATCGTGATTATGGAGGTCCACCAAGAATCTTTCACAAAACTCGAACTATGTGGCACAGATTCCCGAGAAAATCCCTCCCTAACCCCTACAATGGCGTGGTCAACGACGTCATTGGCTACGGCCTTCGTATGCTCGCAATATGCTTTCTTCGGGGAATTGGTGTAAGGCAAAAGAGTTGCACAAGGGATAAAAGGACCACAGAAGGGTAATACCTTCAAGTTCAGGGTCAACCTATATCTATTCTACATATCCTCATAGCATGAGCTTTTACTCCCTCCTTCCCATTTTTCCCTGACACTCTCATTTAGTAACCCTCTATCTTGAGTGACCCTTGAGTCTTGTTTTGGGTGAATTAAAGTCAAAAAAGGCATTCAATTTGCAAGCCTTCATATTTTACGAACATCGAGGCCAAGCGATGTCTATCAAAAGCTACGATGAGTTTCCATCATCCGTAAGCCCGAGAACTGACTCCGGTGATCTGTTTTCTTCGGGGAATTGGTGTCAGTTGAAACGACTGTACAGGAACGACGCTGCGACGACAGAAGAGTCATCTCGAAGACCTATAATATCTTCTTTAGCCAAATATAAATGTTACCTTCTGATCAGGTCAGTTGACGAGGTGTTTGCGTAGACGCTGTTCAAACCACAGCATCAAAGTTGGTCCAGAAGGCAGAGGAAGGATATCGAAGACTTCACACGCAGAATCCCATCTCTACTATCATCCAAGTTCTTCTTGGATTCCCTACTTGCAAGAAAGTCTGCAGTTTTCGTGTTCATAGATGTGGCGGAAGAGGATAACAGGTGAGGCGGAATGAGTGAATGAAAAATTTAGAAAGGGTTTAAAAATATTCATATCCCCAAAATAAATAAATGATTTCAAAGTTTCAAATATTATTATGGATGACTTGTAATTGCACGTATGAGTCCCATTATAAATAGTTATAAATAATTATTGACCAATTTTATCATTGTGATATTTTTGCATTATATCAAGTATTAAGGAATATAGTAACTAGGATCAGCAAATTGGAGGAGAGAGTTATCAATTATAATGTTCTGATTTCGAATCAGCGGTTATCTCCTTTTAATACTCCATGTTATTATTATTATTATTATTTTTAAATGTACTTTTTATCACATTTTTGGTAAGGCGCGAGCATTTTTTCAGTCGGAAAATGAGGCCGAGAGAAAAAAAAGAAAAAAAAAAAAGATTGGGAACAAGTGGAATCAGTCACAATAGAAGAGAACCGGTTGACTTCTCCTGTAAAGACAGTCTACAACGACGAATTTTATGCGAATGCCTTCCATAGCACGAAGAAGAATAAGCTGGAAGCAATTTGCTAACGTAGCAGTGGATATTTACTAAATGGAAACTTGTCAATAACCACCTTGAGTTCGGTGTATTGTGATGGTTAACAAGCTTGGTTATTTGCTCCTCCTCCTCCTCCTCCTCCTTCTTCTTCTTCTTCTTCTTCTTCTTTTTGTACCGTATCACTTCAGGATATGGATGAGAATGGCTTCCAAAGCCTTTTATCACTTGCAACTTTTAGTAATGCTTGCTTTTTAATCATATCTCCCGTCCTCCATTCTGTTATCCATTTCCTGAAGCTTGCCAGGTAGGTAGCCTGGTGACACTTTTCACTTCGATGAATCCCGAGAGTGTCAAATTCTCCAAGCCCCTCTTCCGCATTATGTGTCCCAGAATTTTCAGATGTTTCTTTCTAACTCTAAGTGTTCTCTTGTTTTCATTTTCATGGCCCCATCACTGCGCTTCTCAGCACCTAATTTCTTTTGATTCCAGTCTTTTCTTCTGCGAGGAAATTGTCCAGCATTCACTGCCATATAGGAGGACTTCTTCTTTCTCACCCTCCTCTTCTTCTGATCGCTACAGCACGCTCATCCAGTGCTGCACACAGAGCCCTGCCTGAAGTGCTAAGGTTTCAAGGTCTTTAAGTGTGCATGTGCAAGTCTTCAAGATTGGGGCAAACTAGAAGATATTGCATAGTTTGTGATTGCCCCGGCGTTGACAGTTGGGATCAACATCATTGACATAATCCCCATTTCTGAAGGTTGGCTTTACAGCGGCCTACGGCTTCTCGGGTGGAATTTAGACACAACCAGAAGAGTCAATCATCACGAAAGCCAGTGGGAGGAAATTCTGTAGGGCTGAGAGAGCGCCCGTTTTCCACGTTGTTAAGATGGCTGCACCACACGGACAGACGCTGACTGGAAGGAATTATATTAAATAAGATTTCAGTTATCTAATGAAATTTTCGTGTTTCATAATACTTTCGCTTAGCTTTTGGAAAGCATATTATGCCAGTCCAATGCATTTTTGAATTTTATTGTCATATTTTACATACTCTGTTAAAACACTCCCTAGATATTTAAATTTTTGCATTTGCTTGATGTTGACATCAACCAATACGTAGTTGCCATCTTGGACTGTTTGTCTTGCTAACATTCATGCATTCCGTTTTCTTATAATTGAGGGTTAGTCCTTTCTTCTCTCTTTCCTTTCCTATCTAAACTGTGAGGCCACGAAATTTTCCGTTTGTGTCTGCCGTCAACACAGTGTCATCTGCGTATCTTACATTGATAAGATTTCAACCACCGATAATAAATCCTAGCAGTTTCTTCATCATCCTAAGTATTGATAGTTTACTCATGAATAATGGCCTTATGTCAGGCTTTAACAAATTAAGTAAATAAGTGTACGTATTAGTACATATTTGAGTTACTGAGAGCAATTGTGCTTTTTTGCACTAAAATATGTGTGCATTTAAAAATGTTATGCGTTTGAAAAGAATAATTCCATTGGAACTTGCATTTTGTTAGTTTATGAGAAAAAGCCGCCAAGATTCCATTTTTACTGCCAGCCAAACGAAATACAGTGAAAAGTTTTCAAATAAAAACCGGACAATGATTTTCAATTGTTCGTTTGCTTGTTTGGTTTTTTGGTACGGTTGCCCAGAAACAAATGAGTGTTACCTGTTTGCTTACTAAATTGCTTGTGATTTTTTCCGTTTCATGAACAAACGAAAGAACGCAGACGATATTAATTTAAAAAAAAAAACAAAAAAAAAAACAAACAAAAAACCACCCAAAAAAACAAAACAAAAAGAAACAAAAACAAAAAAACAACAACAATAAAAATAGCATTCGCTCAATGTACTGCACACCTACATATTATGAACGCATTTAATACACGATTATTCTGAAAAGAAGAAATACAGTTTGTTCATTGACTAAAAGTACAAGTCTTGACTCTTGATAATGGAAATATTTGCAGGTGTTATATTATGCCAATAATGTTCCTGTGGCCAACAGACAACTGGCCAGACGAAACTTAGACTATAAAAATCCCGAACAAGGATAGTAAAAAGAACCCAGAGGCAAACACCTAACTACGCAGTGAATTGGGCTATCTAGATAGTGCTTGAAGATCGCGTTATCCTGAAACTTGAGTAGCGGTTCGCGTTGTGATTCTTGTGATATATATATATATATATATATATATATATATATATATATATATATATATATCTATGTATGTGTGTGTGTGTGTGCATAGAAATAGGGAGAGAAAGAGAGATGTGTAATGGCGATGGTGCCTAACTCCTATACGATTATCTATCTATCTATGTATGTGTATGTATGTGTGTGTGTATGTGTATGTGCGTGTGTGTTTGAACTGAACTCACTACTGAGTAGGATTTTCAATCAACACAGGATACGGCATATTTTCGGGCTTACGCTACATCTACGGTACGCTTAATAAATGACTATATATAAAATATCTAATCATAGAAGTGTCCGTTGAAATATTATATATATATATATATATATATATATATATATATAAATGTAGTTATGATAAATCTGCAGATGACTATATATATATATATATATATATATATAGCTGGCCACAACTATTCAAGGATAACCGTTTAATATTGCAGACGCATTTGTGTTTATTCAACACCCACGGAGCCCGTATATACCCTTTTATACTGCAACTATGCTGAGCAGACCTTAGATACAGTTTCTGGGAAAGAGGTTATTATCTAGCGTAATCAAAAATTTGAACGAACTCACTCAAACCCTCGGCCACGATGACGTGTGACTTCGAGCCTCCAATTTCACTCACAAGGGTTGGGTCAACCCAATTTCGCTTACAAGGTTTGGGTCAACCCGGGCTATGGTTTTCGGGCACTTTCCAAAGGTGCCGCACGATGAAATCGACCCCTCCAGACCCATAACATCAGGAAATCCATGGTGAGATTCGAACCCGGATCTCATGGTCTGAATGCGATCATTCTAATCATGCCCACACACACACACACACACACACACACACACATACATATATATATATATATATATATATATATATATATATATATATATATATATATATATATATATATATATATATATATATATATATATATATATTAGGTTGGTGCAAAACTAATGACGTAATAATGTCGTTTTTTTGACGTATTTTTTAACGTCAAAAAACGACATTATTACGTCATTATTTTTGCACCAACCTAATATATATATATATATATATATATATATATATATATAACTTATAGTATATTTAATTGCATAGAAGTGTGCGCTGAAATTTCTTTAAATCAGTAACATTGCTGATGTAAATTGCATTTTTTACACGTCAGTAACTGTTTCTTTTAGTTTTGTCAGTTTTAATGACAGACCGAAGTATTTCTCCGGTGGATATACCTGTTAAATTTACTTGTGGGATATAACGTGAGCGACAATTTTATATAATTTTTTACTACCCATTAATCTTCAAAATTTAGGCAAACATTACTCATAATATAATGTTTTATTGAATTTTAAATCCTCGTCCTTATTTTCAGATAATGTCGCTCGTGGAAGTCCTTATTTGCCAAAATCGACACGTTTCAAAGCACAATAAAAACTTCAAAATTCTTTTTAAAATATTGGTGTTTGATGAATTTATACTAACCTTTATCAATTATGATTACTAAATATAGCTTCTACTTAATAAAAAGTATTCACCTAACCCTGTCAAAGTGATGCTGGAATTTAAATGATTATTTATAAGATAATTATTCGAATTTACAATTGAAAAAAAAAATGAAAAATTTTTGTAAAAATTTATTATTCCTCAAAACAATTTGTTTTCTTAAGACAGTAGTGTAGTGTCGATAAATATATTTTATTCATAGAATCAATTAAAAGTTTTTTTTTCTAATTAAAGAATTAGAAATTATTAAATTAGCTTTATTGATTATTTTTATTTTACGATTCAGAGCAGATTTTCAATTATTTGATTTTTGTAACAATTTCAAAATCAATGTGTTTTTTCACAACAAAAATGAATTTCCTATACTAATCTTTGCCACCACGCTGACGCAAGAAAAAAAAAAAGATTTTAATCAAAATGGCGTACGTTCTAAAAAAAATTAAAAAATATAATTTAATAATCATAAAATGCTTTGCTCTTTCCTCTTACTAATAACATAAATGTTTTGACGATAAAACTTTGTTTTTATTAATTTTGGAATATTTTTTCATTATGGTTTATCCAACAGATTTTGTGATGGATAAACATATAAAAAGCATTATTTCATTTACAAATTGCTTTAGGAAACTGAGAAGATTTAAAAAATCGCTTAAAGGCAATATTCGGTAAACTCTTCGTAGCCGAGTTTGAATAAAGCACGTCGGATCTAACTACGGTTTCTCCTGCTAGGGGGACGCAGGTTCAAATCTTACCGGGAGGTGCATTTTTTTCTTTAATAAGATTGGGCACATTGACATGGTTTAATGGTTAGCAACCTTGTCTCTGAAAAGCAATTATGACTGAGTAGTAAATCGTTCCATACTGGGTGCTCCATACGTTTGGCCTTGTGCCACATTTCAGCTACACTTAGTAAATTGATAAAATATATGAAAAAAGTTTAGATATAGCTAAAAATATATCTGTAACAAGGACAATATGAATATGTTTTCATTTGTTCTTTATATATATATATATATATATATATATATATATATACTTGCTGAAATAAATTTATAACCGATTTATATGATGCTTTAAGTTTTTTTTATATATATATATATATATATATATATATATATATATATATGATAGATGTTTGGCGTGAACTGTCTGAACGAAGTATGTAAAGTTGGAATACGCAGTAAACCGATATGATACTGACAATTATTTGTTTTCCTATCGACGTTTCGCTCTTTTTATGTGAGCATTATGAAAACATAACTGAATCTTAGGAAAGTTCGTTTCCATGACAACCATACTACAGAAAAATACTATGGTCAATCTTATAATCCCACACTGTGAGAACAGAAAATCTGCCAAGAATGATGATATATAGTAAGAATCTGGACGCAAATTTACTGTGGCTGATCTAGCGATCAAGACATTTTCCAGGCATTTTCTCTTTCAATTAAAGTAGCATATCCTATGTCAAAAATGTGGTCGGGTTCGTTACGGTGAACAACCAATACATTTTGTGTGTGTGTGCTTTTTTTTTTTTTTTTTTAATGTCCTTTTTGTGTTTATAGTGTTTTGTTTAAACTTCTTGAGGTTTCTCCAATGTATTCTTTCTAGCAATTCCTACAAGTTTCGGCTTGTTTTGTTTTTTATTGATTAAATCTTTGAACAGCAAAAAAAATTGACCCCTCCCTTTGGGACAAGGGACAAGTCCGTCACATATAAAACATTCCTGCAACCTTGTTGAAAAACTAAGGGAAATAAATATGATTGACAGACTCATGGCCTGTCTACATATAAAAATCACTTTACACTATTATCCCGGTTGAAAATGGCTTAAATCTCTTAAAAAAAGCATCCAACAAAATCAAAGATAAACCTTTTCCTACCAATCGATAAAATAATAAAAACCTGCCGTCTCATCATCAATCAATGTTATTTTTCTTTCAATAACAATTTTTACAAATAAAGATTTGGATTACCGATGGAATCCTCTCTCAGTGGAGTAATAGTCTAGTTCTTTCCAAAATACTTTAAACAATCAACTTACTATTAATATTTAATATTGAAGATGCTCTATTAATATATCCGCGTGATATTAACTTACCGGATCTTATATATAAACTAAATAAAGTCGTACACTATATAATTTACATATGAAATAGAAAAATAATACTTTACCTTTCTTAGACATCATGTTACACCGAGTTGACAACAACCTAAAACTTAGTGTCCACCAAAAATCAACCAATAAAAGTGACCTAATAAACTTCTATTCCCATCATAACAACAAAATAAAATCCACTGGGTTCTATTTAAGAGCACTCAGAGTTTGCAGCCCTCAATATTTTCACGAAGAGGAAAAATATATTGAAAATACATTGAAGACCATTCAATACCCTAAACTTTTTCATATTCAATGCAAAACAAAAAGCTTTATAAAATATTCCAAAATAGAAAAGTTATCCTCTCTGACAAGCCCAGCGAATACACTCCACCCCCAAAAAAAAAACATATTATTCTACTCACTAACTCTATTACAACTACAACTGAAAAGACTTTACAGAAACTCAGAATAAAATTTGTCACAATTGCATTTAAAATAATCAAAGTCAATATTAAACAAAACAACAAGCCAAAACTTGAAGGATGAATTTATTCTATCAACTGCATGGATTGTCAGAAAAAATACATTGGAGAAACCTCAAGGAACATTTTGGCATGGATAATGAAACAGATGAAATACGTCACAATTTTTTTTTCAATATTTCATACTATTTTTCTAAATACTGCGTGTTGATATATAAAATTATATAAAATTTTATATCATTATGTACGCACACATATTTGAATATACATATATATTACTTTCTCAGGTATTATTAATACAGTGCTCAATGTTATATAACAGCGCTATTAATTATATATCAGTGAATACACATAATATACAACGTTGATAGCAACACTCAGAGTTTCATGCTGACTTGCAATCTTCAGGTGCGGGATGCAGTCTGACCGCTATGAAATTCGCATTCTCGTAGTGGTGATTTAAACTTCTGTGTTAAGATTTGTTTTTACTTTCCAATCACCCTATATATATATATATATATATATATATATAGAGAGAGAGAGAGAGAGAGAGAAAGAGAGAGAAATAATATACTATTTTTGTTATTATCCTTCCAACCTTATCGATAGCGAAGGTAGAGGAGGGTCGTAATTTGTGTTATTTTGTTTTTTAGCATTTTACATTTTTTTTGTAACATATATTTCTTTCCAAATGGTCTCTTTCCGATTGATCAGACACGGCCGAGCGGAATCGATTAAGGAACAAACACGGTAGGCGACAAACAACAATGGAGACAGGAAATATAAATTTATTAACAAACATGGAATCGTGGAAAAGATAAAAAAAAAAAAAACGGCCAAAACTCAGAATAATAAAGTCCTTTTTCACTAATAATGTCTCTTAGTCTTATCTTTTTCTTTTCCCTTTTCTATTTCTTTTTATCAGGTTCTCTTTTTGACGTCTTCTCTTACTTCCTCTCTTTCTCTTTTCGTCGTCTAAGGGCTCGGCTGATGATGAAGCAAAAAATACGTTCCCTCTCTCTTTCGCCTTGGTATGACAGCATTCTCGCTCGAGATGGTCTGTTCTTTCTTTCTTTCTTTCTTTCTTTCTTTTCCCTCTCTCGTTGTTTAAGGGCTTGATGACAGTTGAAAATGCTTTCTTTCTCTTTGATATAGCGGCGTTCCGCCTACGTCGTCAAAACGGGTCCATCCATTCGACTGGGAGACCAATTCTCCTCACAATTTTGCAAACACATCTTTTCAGTCCGTATACTGAGACATTTGCCAAACGTCCGTCCAGCCCGCAGGCCTGGACGAAGACTAACTTTTCCGTTTCACTATTCATTTCCGTTTTCTTCTTGTCACGTGGTCAATTTTCAAAATACTAACTTTTTCCCATTATGGGTGGAATGGGGTCATCGACTCCCTCTCTCATCTTCAGGATCAGAGAAAGTTTAGTTTAAAATGTTTCAACCAATCCCAACCGGAATCTATCCGTGTAGATCATGCTGTCAACACCTTGACCAAAAGAGAAGGAAAGGGGACACTCTGGTCAATCCTGTCGCCACTAAGTCTACCTATATCTTTGGGTTTACTATCTTTACATTTTCTGCAAGTACTGGGCTCTTTATTTTAGAATGCTTCTAAAATATAAGCAATGGTATAGTTTTTAATAAAACTTTTTATAATACATTTAGATCGGGGTTCGTAACAATATATATATATATATATATATATATATATATATATATATATATACGGATATAGATACGGATATAGATCCGACAGTATGAAGAAAAATATACGGAAATAACAAACAAAAAATCCTTATATGCAATTATGCTGTTTTAATGTTAATATGCCAACGTCGGACGTTTCGGTCTAATTATATTTTATGAATATGTCCTGAAGATGGTTTATTAGACCGAAACGTCCGACGTTGACATTATATTAACATTGCATAATTGCATATAATGATTTTTGTTTGCTTTTTCCGTATATTTTTCTTCATATATATATATATATATATATATATAGGAGAAATAAAGATATATATATATATATATGGTGATAAAAATGGTAATAAAAATATATAAAGTAACTCCCTATTTTATGTATGATGGACTCTTCCGTCTTCTGTAAAAATTATAACGAGTCCCGCATATGTAAGATTTACTTTTCAATTACCCTGTATATTATGTGACACTATTCTACGTCATCATAAAAGTCGATAACATAAAGAAGGGCAAAATGTTTGCTATTTTAAAATTCTTAATTTTTTTTTTTGTTATTTTAAACTATTTATTTAACAAGTTCTGTTCTCTAAGTTTTCTGACGTGTCATTAACACTTCCAACATTGTTCGGACGGAAATCACTTCTTTGTTCATTTTCTGATGCTAAAACGGCCTTTTAGCCGTTCCATTGTTTGACCTTCCTTGGGTGGAATCCGTGAGAAAACAGATTGAACCTTCTTCCCTTTCTCATCCGATTACACACTTGACGAAGGCTGAACAATGAATCGGCTGAATACAACTTAATCAACGTTTTCCCATGAATATTTCATATTTGTTGAATAAAAGGCAAGAATTCTTCCCATTGTTGCCTACAGTGCGGTGAAAAGTTTCTCTGCCCGATCTACATTTCATTTGTCAGTTTTGCTGGAATTTTTTTAAAGTTACAATTTGCACGCGTGTTTCGATTTATTTGCTATGACTTGCAAATTTTCAAGCCCCCAAAACAAAACTGCTCTCATTAAACAACCAAAGAGAAACTTTTCTGCTTGCAATCAGTATGGCTGACGCTAGACACCTGGGGAGCAACGCACTGCGCCTTCTTGACCTCAGGTTTTCAACTGGTTTGTTGTGTACTGACTACATCGAATCATTCGCTTCATCTACTGCAAGGAAAGTTCGGTCACTTTGACATGCCAGAAAATGTTTCTTGTCAGAATCCATCTTGTATATTTATAAATCTACAATTCGCCCGTGCCTTGAATATTGTTGTCATATTTGGTCTGTTGCTCCTACTGCGCATCTTGAGGTTCTTAACAAAATCCAAAGAAGCATCTGTAATGTAATTAATCCTGACTAGGCAACTTGACTTCAGTCACTCTCTCACTAATGGAACGCGGCTTCCCTCTGTCTTTTCTACAAATATTTTCATGGCAACTGCTCTGACAAGCTTTATTCACTGGTGTCCCGACTAGATGAATTTAAGCGTGCTACTAGATTGGCATCTACATCCCATTCTTTTACTGATGAAATAGTTAAATGGAATCGCCACTTCTACTCCAACAATTACGTTTCTCGCACTGCCAAAAGTGGAACTCCCGTCAGTTTACTTGCTTCCCTGATAACTACAATCTTCAAAAATTTAAATTCAACTGCCATCTTCTATCTACTTCAATACCGTACATCCTCTCTAAACCGGGCCTTTTCTCTCACTTTCACTCTCTGTAAGCCACTGCGTATTAGTAGCATTCTCGCTACGCTTAGGATAAAATGATTGAAAAAGAAAAGAAGAAAAATATGTCTCACCTCATTGTCTGATCACTGTCTCATTGTTATTATCACCTGATCGCCTTCTGTCTGAAATTCTGGGAAGAGGAGTTATCATTATTTACATTCAGACTATTGTCCTCATCTTTGTTGTTGTTATCGCCTGATTGACTTTTGTGTGTGAATTTCTGGGATGAGGAGATATTATTATTTACATTTGGACTAATTTCCTCATTGTCATGGGTCCTTACCTATAACTACAGAATGAACTCTTCCTAACACTATGTATACTACGCCTCTCAAGAGAGAGGGACGAACCGTGTCGAGCCGATAGTAGTTCACTCCAAACCAGACTGACAGTCATACTAACACCTTCTACATCTTGTATTATTATTTCGTGTAATATACCTTCGTTATTTCTACTCTTGTGTTCATGTTGTTCTTCCTTGGGCCTAACTTGGACCATAACAGTGGCGACGAGGATATTGAAGAAAGGAATTCTACGCGGAGGATATATATATATATATATATATATATATATATATATATAGATAATAAAAAAAACTTTTGCTATCGGTCGTCCATAACAGATAAAAAACTTTTTGGACACCAACCATAACAGTGGTAACGAAGACACAAATTTTACCTGTCAGCCAGAATAGAATCGAATTCTACGCAGGAATATTTTTTCGTACTAAGGTTCCAGAACAACAGACGACAAAGACCTGGAGTCTACACTGAGAAAAAAGGAAAAAATCGTTACGCAAGTACACAACTCTAGCTACAAAGTACATATTGCGAAAAGAAAAAGTAAGGGGAAAAGGTGAGTTTTTTCCCTCCTCTTCTCGTGACAACAGATAGCCTGTGTTATTATTAAATTACGGTGCAAACATGGAAGACTTTAAGACAACCATATTGGAACTAATAAAAATGCAATTCGAGCAGAAAAAATGAGGAAAGATAGAATAGGCTCGAAGAAAAACAATAAGAAATTCAACAGAAAAACGAAGAAAAAGTATTAGAAATTCGGCAGAAAAACGAAGAAAAGCAACTCGAAGTACAAGAACTACCACTACGGGCAGTAACAAATAAAGGACAAAATTATGAAAATGAAGCTGCATTCTCGCAAAATCCTATATGGAGCTCAATCAAAGACTTCACTTATGCACTGGACGAAGACAAAACCTTCGCGGCTTACTTCAGAAGATATGAAGATTCATATGAGTTTGATTGCGGGAATTGGTCAGATGCGAAAAAAGTACGTCTACTACTGAGGAAACTCGGGTCAAGCGAATACACTAAATTCGTAGACTACATCCTACCGAGGAAAACGAATGAGTTGACTTTCAGGGATGCCGTTAAACTTTTAACGGAATTATTTAGTTCGGACACTTCACTATTCCACAAAAGGTGGAAATGTTTAAATTTAATAAAAAAGGATAGCGAAGACTATATAACATTCGCTTCCGTAGTAAACAAACACTACGATGACTTTAAGTTATCTGAACTCAGCCCTGACAATTTTAAAAGGCCTGGTTTCGATTAAAGATGCGGAGATCAGACGGGGAATTCTAACAAAACTGGAGAGTGAACCAAAACAGACGCTACAAAAATTGGCTGAGGACTGTCAGAGATGTATAAGCTTAAAAAAGGACTCGAAAGATATCGAAGAGACTGGCATTACTCACATACGAAAAGTACAACGACAAACACGTTTTTCTCCCTCCTCAAAAACAAACCAAACCAATTATTTTACTACAAAAAGTCAAGTGAAACCTCAGAAGAAACCACCACCCAGTCCATGCTATCGCTGTGGGATTTTACATTGGTACAAATATTGTCCATACCGCTATAAGACTTGTCTGTCGTGCAATAAAGTGCGACATAAAAGTTCGCACAGTAGAACAAAGAAAGAAAACAAAAGCCGAGTAAGAGTCACTAGAACTGACCAAGCAGACGGGATAAATATACGAAAATAAGTACAAGTAGAAATGTTAAACAAAAAATCAGATTACATTTAGATTCCGGATCAGATTTAACCATTATTAGCTTACAGACGTGGAAGAAATTAAACAAACCGACCATCTTGAGAACAGATAAAATAGCCAGGTCGGTAACAGGAAGAAAAATCAAATTTGAGGGGGAGATTATCACAAATGTGACGTTCAACGGGATGACCAAGAAATTAAAGATGTATGTTCTAAAAAATACGGAAAATTTATTTGGAACTGACTGGGTGCAGAAATTTGACCTCTGGGATTTGCCGATAAATACGTTCTGCCAAAAAGTGGAAAGGTTATCGACTGAGGCAGAGAAATTGAAGGAGAAATTAAAGGAGAGTTTCCCCGACGTATTTTCAGCCGGCCTTGGGAGGTGCAAAAAAATGACGGCCAAAATCGAACTAAAAGATAATGTACAACCCATTTTCAAGAAGAAAAGAAATGTACCTTTCGCAACATTAGAAAAGACAGACGAAGAGTTGAATAGACTTGTGAAAACCGGTATATTGAAAAAGGTGGAATATAGTCAATGGGCCGCACCTACGGTTTACGTGAAAAAGAAATCGGGTGAGATACGAGTATGCGCTGATTTCTCGACGGGATTGAATGCAGCGATTAAGGATTATCACTATCCTCTCCATAGTCCAGAGGAAGTTTTCACAAAGTTGAACGGAGGAAGTTTTTCTCAAAAATAGCCTTGAGCGAAGCATACCTACAAGTACCAGTAGACGAGGAAAGCTCGAGGTTGTTGTGCATAAACACACATAAAGGATTATATAAGTTCCAGAGATTACCATTCGGGATAAAGGTCGCGCCGGCGATATTTCAGCAAATAATGGACACTATGCTAGGCGGACTGGATTTCACGATCGCATACCTTGATGACATCC